TGTGTTTTTCAGTTTGTGGATAATTTCATGTTTTTACCATAACTGAATTTTTGTTCTAATTCAATGTGTTTTGAAGTGAAAGTGAAACTGACTAGAAAGTGAAAACAGACTTTTTTTCTGTAAATAGTGGAATAGGAGTGGGTAAAAGATGAGTTCTTCTAAGAATAAGATCAACATTAAAATTACAGTAACTTTGCATAGGTTAAAACCCCCTGGGAGTGGCAGAAGGAATAGGGAGCTGGGGACTTATTTTCAGCCTATTTGTGTTCCATGAAAGGTGGCAAGCTGAGGTTATTGTGTTCAGCATGATCAATATATTCCAAAAATTCACTGAATTAAACTGTTCTCAGGTCAAACGTAATATTGGAGCAAGAGTTCATAAGCTTTATTGGAAAGATATGCTCAGATTTACACTAAGAGAAAAACCTTCATAGTGTTTGAAAATCAGCCTCATTTTGGGCTCTGTTTGACAACAGTGTACTCTGTAGGATTCAAATTCCTTATTTTTGTTGTCTACCTTTATAGAATACTCTTTTGCAACTTGTAGATACAAATGGTTTTCATTGTCTGCATTTGTCTGGAAATCTAATAACATTTTGACTTTGAACTTATTTCAAGATTGCTTGATGTTATATATTTTCAAATCTTAATAATGGCCAAATTTCTGCCCACAAATCTTAAAAAAAGGTGTATCTGAAAGCCTGTCTGTTCCCAATTAGCTGAAATTACATGGAGAACAAGTAGCATAACACTTTGAACTAACTCGTGTCTGGGTCTCGAGGCAGCTCTGTTCAGTTCTGCCCATCTTGTTGCTGTGACTCAGTTGATGGCACCCTCTCTCAAAAGCTGGCCCTGCTCCATGGGAACCTGTCCCTATCAGATACGGCATGGAATCATCAGCACAGGAAGTGCTGCCTTAGGATCACATTAAACCTGACCCTGTGGAAGTTAAACATCTTTGGTGTGAGGGTAGGGCTCTTCCCCCACCTCCTTCCGTTGTCTTAAAGGATGGGGTTGGTTAGAAGTGGAGTGCAGCAGCCTTTGAACAATGAGTGATGTGATAAATAGTGGGTTTTTGAGGATATTCAAACTCATTAATTGAAGTACTCAAGTACCTAATTGTATGTAGGGCGTTTCCTGACTAGCACCAATTGCCAGCTTGTGCTGTGTCTTCATCATACACTTGTCTTACTGTCGCACTTCATGCTTTTCCATAAGATTGTCCCTCTCTGTGTCTTTGTCTTGGTTATTCTCCCATCTTTCCTATTTTTATTTTCCCTTTGCCCCTTCCCTGGGTGTTTGCAGCTGCAGGAGCTGGGTGTGGTTTTGTAAAGCTCTAGAGTGGGGTCTCAGCATGGTGCCATCAGGTCCTGTAGCCCTGGTCCTGCCAGGCCGGGCTGCCATGGGTTTTGTTCCCTGCTAATCTCTGCAGCAGCACACAGTGAACTGCCAGTTGACAGCTGCGACAAGAAGATTAGGGAGCATTTGTTCAAATAAAAAATAAAGGGTGTTTCTGAAAAGTAGAGAACTTTCCTGATTTAGTGAAAACTTGAATAGTGTGGATCCTTGCACTAACAGCAGGACACAGCGAGCCTGTCCTGACCACAGGGGTATCTGTGGAATTGCTGCTGGTCAGACTCAGAGAGCCCTCTGGAATACCTGATTTTATGAAGAACCCAGTAAGTTCAGCTTCAGACCATTCTGAGAGTGTGTGAATGAACTAGGAGAAAATTTATGTGTAACAATTAAATGAGTAAGGATTAGCTTGTAAAATTGTCATAAAAGTACTTTGAATAATAATAAATGAATGTAAGATAAAAGCATGGTACCCAGCTGAATATTAGAGTTCCTCTCTGAACTCTGAAGAGTCTTGATTTTTATAATATAGTTCTTCAGTGCTTTCTGTTCAAGTGTCCTCCAGTGTGGCCCCCTTCTCTGGGACATCTCCCTTAGAATTCACCTGGTATGCTCCCCCTGTGTTCTTGTGTTGCTGTTTTCCTCTGAAGCTTTCTGCAGTGTTTTTCTGTCTTCTGCCTCAAAACTTTCAAGCTTATTTTCATCCTCATGTTTCTCAATCTCTTATTATTAACAAATGTCATACAGTTGAGCTTCTTTTTAGTGACTCCAGTGTATTTGAATCTTAAAAATGTAGCTGAAATGAGCTTAGATGCATTGATAACAGATTATGTAGCAAATTGTGTAAAGGAGTTACTTTTGCAGAGATAGAGTTGTGTGAGTTATGTGTGCTTTGTGTATTTTTCAGGGAATCCTCTTTTTTTTTTTCTTTTTTTTTTTTTTTAACCTAAATGGTGCTATAGAGAAAAAAAACCCAAGTGGTTTTCAGCTTTGTGCGCTGTTGGAACAGGCTGTGTATTGAGCAGGCAGTGGGGCTAGAGATCTCTAACCTTGACCTTTTTCCTTCTCTTTCCAGTCCAAGAGCCATTGCCTTCTGCAGAGCTGGTCTCTTCAAGGAAAAGTCCTTGCTTTTGTTTTGTCCTTTCCATTCCTCCCCAAACGTACCTGTTCTCTTGGGAGCTGACTTCATTTGCAGCTGTGCATCCTGTGCTTGTTTCGTTTCTCAGTGATTCTGTGTCTGATGTGCTCCTCGGTGGCAGTGCTGGAGAAGCAGAGCTGCTCTGCCCACGCTGGAAAGGGCTTTGCAGCGTCGGGGGCCCAAGAGCAGATTATTCCTGCTGGAATATTTTCACATGTGTTGGATTACTTTAAACTTTGTGTATCTGTCCCAAGGCTGGAGGAGGATGGGGTGAAGTATTACAGTTATTTCTGCTCTGCCCTGAAAAAAACATTTTATGAAATTTATTCATTGCAGCATGCTATGGATATTGATAGACTATTTAGTTAGAACTTTGTGTAAACACAGTTGAACCAAATATTTGAGTGCTAGGTTATTATTTTAGTGGGACACTAAAGAGTCACCTCTCTCTTGTGAGCAGTGTTTTAGGATCTTTAACTCCCACAGGTGATCACAGTGTCAGTGCCAGCCCCAGGCCAGCAGTGCCGCTGGGATGTGGTGCCATCTCCTGACTCACTGGGGTCTCTTCCTGCAGGAGCAGGGTTTTTCTTGGGTCTCCCATCCCAGCACTAAGCCTGACCTTGTTTAGTTTGAGGTCTGAGAATACAGGCTGGTGTCATAGCTGCCATGTAAAGAGTAAAGAATCCCTTCAGAAATGCTGTTAGCAGTGTAACTGCAATTGGAACAAGAGGTCTTGTTTACTTCCTGCAAAATGTAAAACTTGTTTTTCTCGTTCACATCTGTCTTCACATCAGTAATTGGAATTTTACTGCATAAAGACTTAATATTATGTTTGGTCTTATTTACAGATCTTATAGCAGAAACTTTTTGCCCAAACTTCAGTTACTTTTAACTTCCTTTCGTCCTGTTCTGTGGTGGTAGAGGTTTCATTTTCAAATATGTGATATATGCCAAAGTCATCTTGGATTCTATGGACCTAAGTTTTTTGTGGTCTTCTCACAGACACAGTACAGTAATGTAGGGTATGAACAAAGCCATTAACCAGAGATCAAGGCTGACATGTCAGTAAACTTTATAGATGCTTTCAGACATCGCAAACTTCTGAAATTCACTTTTCTTCGGTGTGAAAGTAGGTTTTTGTGGAAGAAGCGTAGTATGTATAGGAAACACTACTGTATTTTTATCTGCAATAATATATGTAGGTTCTGGGTACCTCTTGAATCTGTGATGTGATAAAAGCCTTGTAAGATTGAGATCTTTAATGTTTTTTTAGCTCAACATGATGCATAAGTTTAAAACTGCATCTGTTTAAAGGGATTTATGACTAAAACTGCTTGTTTTTCTACAGAATTGTCTGGTGTTTCTCAGCTTGAAGAAGATCTGCAGTCATTATTGATCCTCTTTCTTGGCGTTACCATTTTTGAAGTGAAGTTTGCCTAGCTTTCTAGTGTGAGCTCTCTTTGCAGCCATCTTAAAAAAAAAAAAAAACTAAACAAAAAAATTTTTTGATCCATAAAGTAGACAAGCTCTAGTTCTACAATGTCCAAGTCATTCCAGCAGTCATCTCTGAGTAGGGATTCACAAGGTCATGGGCGTGACCTCTCTGCAGGAATAGGCCTTCTTGCTGCTGCTACCCAGTCTTTAAATATGCCAGCATCTCTTGGAAGGATGAACCAGGGTACTGCACGCCTTGCTAGCTTAATGAATCTTGGAATGAGTTCTTCATTGAACCAACAAGGATCTCATAGTGCACTGTCTTCTGGTAGTACCTCTTCCCATAATTTACAGTCTATATTTAACATTGGAAGTAGAGGTCCGCTCCCTTTGTCTTCTCAGCACCGTGGAGATGCAGACCAGGCCACAAACATTTTGGCCAGCTTTGGTCTGTCTGCTAGAGACTTAGATGAACTGAGTCGCTATCCCGAGGACAAGATCACTCCTGAAAACTTGCCTCAGATCCTTCTACAACTTAAAAGGAGGAGAGCTGAAGAAGGTTATGGTAGAGATGGCAGATCATCCACACGGGAACCACCATACAGAGTACCTAGGGATGATTGGGAAGAAAAAAGGCATTTTAGAAGAGATAGCTTTGATGATCGTGGTCCTAGTCTCAACCCAGTGGTTGACTATGACCATGGAAGTCGTTCTCAAGAATCTGGTTATTATGACAGAATGGATTATGAAGATGACAGATTGAGAGATGGAGAAAGGTGTAGGGATGAATCTTTTTATGGTGAGACTTCGCATAACTATCATAAATTTGACAGTGAGTATGACAGAATGGGTCGTGGTCCTGGTCCCGAGAGATCTCTCTTTGAGAAAAAGAGAGGTGCTCCTCCAAATAGCAATATTGAAGACTTCCATGGATTCTTACCGAAGGGTTATCCCCATCTGTGCTCTATATGTGATATGCCAGTTCATTCTAATAAGGTGAGTTATGCACCAGATACTTCTATTTTCCTTTACGTTGTAGTATCTGTTCTGTTTTTACCTATTTCATTAATTATTTCTATGGCCTGGTTGCTTTTGAAATGATCTGAAAGTTGGTTTGAGAGTGAAAAAGGCACTTGGTGTATTTGCAAGGTAATTGTTGACAAACATTGTAAACCAGGGCTTTACATTAATGTATTTTATTTGCCCAGATTGCTTAACTTCAAGTCAAACAGCTATCATCTACTGGGATATCTTGTTTATATTTTACATCTACATGTTCTCTTAACCACAAACATCTGGCATTCAAGCAGTTTTGGGGTGGGTTTTGGTATTTTTTTGTTGGTTTGGGGGTTTTTTGCAGTGTATCTACTGTGCCATTCCGGAAGCTAGTTTCAGCTCTCCTCCACATCTGTCTTGATTGCGGATTTATATGTAGTTAAGATGCATTCTTGCACAGTTCTGCTTTTTCCCTGTCCAGAGGGAAAGAGTTAATGTAGAGCCCTGGAAGTTATTTGCAAAAGTAAAAACCACGTTTTAGATTAGCTCATTCTTGCCTTTTTAATTTCACTTTAACACTCTATCTCATACTATGGCTGAAATTTGTCGTCATTTTTCTCCCTTTTTCACAACTTTCTTAGAACACTTCAGACTCACTTTTTATTGTCACATGTTGCATCTATCCCTGTAGACTCTCCGAGCAATCAGTCTGCTGTTGCAGTACCCTGCTCTGTGTTCCTAGTAGTGTTCTTTACTTGGCTCACGAGTAGAGTGGCTCTTCGGTGTGTTCGGTGATGCTGAAACTTCCCTCTTAGTTATCCATGCCTAGTGCAGCTCTGCAAAGGGAGCAGGTTACTCAGCATGATTCAGATGGTGTTTTCAGAGCCTTCTCACGTTCACCTTTTCCAATGTACTCATCTTGCTGATTTCCAGTATACTAGGCAATTTAATTGGCTAATTGGCTAATACAGTGCCCCTCTTGTCACAATTAGTGGCTAATTAGCTTGAAGGCCTTCAATTGAAAACATAATACGTGCTATTACTGTAAAATTGATACAATGTGGAATTGCTGTTACTAACCATTTCTTTACAGTTACCTCTCAGAAAGTGCTGTTCTGTACATCTGATCTTTTTGAAACACAAGAATCATTCTGTCCCTGCAAGGAAAGGATCAAACCAGTTCTAAAGCACACGCTGTATGGCTCCACGTGATCTGACAGTTTATGAACTTGTGTTGCTTTAATTACTTTTGATATAAAATACAGTAATCCAGGTTTCTTGTCTCCTGTATTTGACGTTTATTTTCACTAAAGTTTTAAGTGTTAACAGTTTAGCTGCCATGCTCAGTTCTGTAAAAGGACTTCACTTGGTTAGATTGAAAACATTAACTTCTGAGGCCCTTGAAGATGGCAACCAGTAATCCTGTAAGTAGGGGTCTTTCTAGCTCTTTATTTTAAAGGCTCATGGCTGTTAGTGTGCTATGGAGTGCAGATCTAATGAAAGGATATCCTCATGGAAATACCTTTCCAGGTATGAGAAATACCAAATTCTTTTAACAGCATAACCTAAGTGACTGACCTCTTCTGTAACATACAAAACTTTTTTTCTTTTTAGGAATATACTTTGACTTTAAAACTGGTAGTACACAATAAAATACTTGTGGTTGGATCATCTGGTTCTTATGACCCAAGTTGGGGCTTTATTTCTGATTTCAGAAATCATGTCACCACAAGAATTTTTCTCTTTCTCTCCTTCTTTCCTCTGCTTTGCATACCCAACCATTTCAGAATTCCTTATTTTGTGTCTTCCACAAAATCAAATCAAGTAAAACATAACTTTTAAAATAATCTGATTTGAACCGAAATGTATGGAAAGCAGAAAGGGAATGCTTTTCATAGCTGGGACTATGTCAGTTTATTACTGTAGTAACAAAATCTCATTTTCCCCACCTCCAAATAAAAATATCGATGATTTTTGAAAGTGTTTGATCAAGCTATGTGTATTTTAAATGCAAGCAAGGTGTTAAACATCCTTAGTGTAACTTAAATTGGCCGAGTGGTCTTCTAGTTTTTTTTTTAGTGATGTTCTTAATTGCTTCTTTAATTTGATGTGTGCATATTTTAAGACCAGGTTTATTTTCTGTGAAGTAAATTGTGCCCCAGTTACTTCAGGCAGGCATTTTGTCACTCCTGATCCCTTTATCAGGGAATGAGGTGCTAGACATGGAGAGATTGTTTTCCTGCCAGAGACAAAGGCTGATGCAACCTGAGCAGATGAATTTGGAGGTGAAACGCTTGAACCTGGTACATCTCAGAGGGAGAACCTGGCTGTGACCCTGGGAGAGGGCGGGCTAAAATTAGGTGCTCGAGTGTGGCCTCATTTTCTGAGGAACAGAGTGTCCTCTGGCTTTCATCAACCGAGCCAAAGGGGAATCTGGGTTTTCAGAAACTCGGTTCAGGTTTTCTCTCGCTCAGCTTGGGGCCTTTGTGTTAATGAGTTCCTGTAAATACAAATAATCTGGTGCCCCAAAACCCTGGGGAAGGAATGCTTCCAGATGGGTGCAGGCGGCAAAGGGAATCCAGATCAAGAATTGTGTAATAAAAAGTTAATGTAGATGAGCTACCATTGTTCCCTGGGGGAGAAGAAAAATCTGAAGTTACAATCACATCTCCCTTTTTTTCCAATTTAAAAGCATTTGAATGAGAATTAAATCTCCCAAACTTTGCCTCTAGTTTGCAGGTAACTTCTACATCAGTTTTGTGCTGAGACAGGTTCAAAGTATGTTATGTCTGGTGGAGCCAGCCACTGAGGCTTTACTGACTGTGCCCCCGAATCTAGAGGGGTTTGGGGTTTAGAGGACTATTTTCTAGAGTGTAATGCTAACACTTGTTAGCAGGTGTTGAACTGAAGAAACTTCATATTGAATGGTTCATAGACTTTTTTTTTTTGTGGGTATTTTTTTGTCCTAATTGCCAGCCTATTTATAGTTGCAGAGCCTACATCTTGTGCAGTTAACAAGAAAAAGTGGTGCTCTCATTTTACATCTTGATAAAAGGGATGACTTCATCTTGCTCCATGTCAGGAGCATCATGGAGTAATATTGTAGTACTTTATGAGAGACTTTAAATTCAGATTTTTCTCCTTTGTAGGAAGTGCAGGATAGGCATTTAACATAAGGAAACACTACAGTGAGCCTTGGGAATGTCTCATTGTATGCAGGATGGCTGTAGTGTGGCAGAGACCAAAAATTTGGAAAGATAAGGGATTAGGCAAAAGTCCTTTGTGGGTGCTGAGCAGAAGCAGACATTTAACAAGAGCCACATAAAGCAGTTGCCAGTGCACTTTGTGTTCATAGTTGAAAATGTGGCTGATAAGAAAAAACCTTCAGTTGGAGAAAACCTTCAGCCCCAAGGTTCTTGGATGACTCTCCCCCCTGTGTTTATCTCTGCTGGTCCTTTTCTTCCCTGAGGAGCAGCAGAGTGAAGGTCAGGCTGTGGCTCCCAGATGTGCAGCAGGGAAACTCCAGAGTTTTTGTCATTTTACAAATGTGAATAAAACACAGATTTGTGCTCTTACTTGTAAGAATATAAAGATACAGAAATCAGGCACTAAAATAAGTAACTGCCTTTGTAGTTCAAATGGTCTGCAGAGAAAAAGTAGAAATCCCTCATTTCTTTCTAGTACTAAAACCAGAACCAGGAGGAGTTTTACCTGGATGAATTGGTTCAATTTCATTATTTCTCCTTTGTAACATCTTGGTTTAGAGCGGCTTTTTTCCTTTATTATTCCCCTTGAGTAGTGATATATTTTATATTCACCTGTATATTTGTAGTTTGTCCTAGCTATGCACTTAGGCTTCTTTTAGTCTTTCCTTTCTGAATTCCGTGCAATTTCTTGGCCTCTTTATGGTTCTAAAAATTGGAGTGTTTCCTTCATATTAATCTGTAGAAATCTGAGGAATGAAGCAGAGTAGAGGAAATTCTGCAATGCCTGAAGACATACAAACAGCCTTCCGTTCCAAAGGCTGCCATTGGCCCTCTGTGCCTGGGCTGGAGTTTTCCAGGGAGCATTGCACTCTGAGGCAGGAGCAGCCCCATTCCCATCAGACACCTTTTCAGCCAGGTTAGCAGAGAAGAGGTAGGTTCAGTGTCAGTGTCTCCTCAAAGCACCACCAACAGATTCCATTCTCTATGGATCTGCGAAACTGCATCATAGCAGAGAAGACACTGCTGTAGGCCATGACTTTGTGGGAAGGACTGCCTTGTGTGGCTGCTAATTGTGCCTTGTTTACTTTGCTGCAGGAGTGGAACCATCACATCAATGGAGCGACTCACAGCCGCCGCTGTCAGCTGCTGCTTGAAATGTATGAACTGAAAGTACAGTAACTGGGGAGGAGGGCTCAGCCTGGGCACAGCACCGGCCTGGGACAGCACTCAGGCACAGCCTGCCATTCCTGGGTGTCCTGTGCAGGGCCAGGAGTTGGACTGGATCATCCTTGTGGGTCCTTTCCAGCTCGAGATGCTCCCTGATTTTAAATAACTGTTGCACAGAGCAGGTTTAGAAAACTTACTGTGCCTTCTAGGGAATAAAAGCAACTTGGAGCATCTTCAGGACAAAAAGGGATCCTGGTTCATAGCTTTGGAATCCTGCTGATGTATATGTAACAGCTGGAACTTAGCAGTTGAGAATCTGTTGTAATTGTAGTTACTGATACCACTTGTACATTTTTGTTGTAAAGCCAGCAGTTCTGCAAACAGAGTAGGGAGTTTGTCCTGAAGAGCAGCATTTCTGTCAGTGCTGCTCATGGCTCTGGCAGTGGGCCTGGAGTGTTGCCTGTGATGCACCTGTGTTACACCTCCAGGTATTGCTGCTTGTGTTACACAGCTAGAGGAGATTGCATGTTTCTTACATTTTCTTTTAATTTTGTTTCTTTTAAGATACCCAGAATGGAATCCTGACAGTGATTCAGGACATGGAATGTAAGTAGTAATTAATTTTGAAGTATTTATTAAAATTGTTTATTTGAAATTGTTTATTTGAAGCAGAGGGAGTTCCTAACTTTTTATGTGAAACAACACATTTCCTTTGGTTCAAATGGATTCCTCCCTTTGTTTTCCAGCTGAAGGGCAGAAGTAAAAGTAGCCTGAGTTGTGTGCATAGAAGCTCTGCAGAAATTAGGGTGTTTTGTGAATGAAAGCTTCACAGTTTCTTGGCTTAAAATGACAGTGTGTTTTCTCCTCTTTCTAGGGGTGATCCCTTTATGTTGCAACAATCTACAAACCCTGCACCAGGAATTTTGGGACCACCACCACCTCCATTCCACCTTGGAGGACCTCCTGTTGGGCCCAGAGGTAACCTCAACAGGCACCTACCTTCACCAGGCTTAATTTTTAGCTAGGTTTTTTGTGGGTTTTTTTTTACTCTTGTTTAAATTTGTCACTGGTGTTCTAAAACAACAAAGAAAAATGTTTTTCTCAGCACTGGAGCTAAAATGCTTTGGCTGTGGTGGGACTAAGGACTGGTACTGTGTTCCCACACTTCACCTTTTTGCCAGCTGCCAACTCCCTATGGCTGGTGGTTTTTAACTGAGATTAATCAACATGTGTTGAGCACCTGGATATTTTTTTTCCTATGTAGGAGATTTTTCTATCTGTCTTCTGAGTAGCTACATGTTGGTGGAGTTTTCTGGTAAGAATTCAATGTCCTAAGTGTTTTTTCCTCCTATTTTCAAGTGAATATGAGAAATAAATTGGAATAGAAGTGAGAAGTGGGAAGATGGATGATGCAAGCCTCTTCCTCTCAGGAAAGGAGGCTAAGAATCAGATTCTTGCCTGATGCTCTTACTTCCTACCTTTTAGATAGTTCAAATGACTAAAAGAGCAAAGCTGATTAATTTACCTAGCTATCCTGACAGAGTGCAAGTATTTTAGACACTTTTTAGATGATAGATGCACTCATACTTTATTACATTAAAATAGCACCGTTAATTTTTCAAAATATCTCAAATTTAACTGTAGGCCAAACTATTTGAAAGGGGGTTTTGTTTGTGTTTGGTTTTTTGGATTTTTTTATGGTATTGTGATTGAATTGGTGATGTTTTAGAACCTAAACCCTCAATTGTATAAAGAGTGTCTTAGATAAAGAAATCTCATACCCTTTGTGTACAGAGATGTTTTCTTCTGGCAAATCTTGTTTAAAACAAGAGATATTTTTTTTTCCAATGGGCTGTGCTTACTCTCTGCTGTTCCTGGTCAGCAATAAATGCAGCTCTTTCTCTAACGTTAGAGTGAAGAGAAGGAGCAGGAATGAGGACCTCACATTACAAGAGCTCTGAAATAAATAAAAAGCCTTTTTAGTTTTTAGAACTTGATCTCATTCTGCTATTACAAGTGACATACCTTTTCAGAACTCATGATGAGACATGTTAATCCCAGTCTTACAGGTTGAGCTAAGCTTGTTCATTCTTTTAATTTCTTAAAGGAGCTGGAAATGGAAATATGCAAGGACCCAGACACATGCAGAAGGGCAGAGTGGTTAGTATTGAATTTTTTTTTGTTTTAACTCACATTTTTGTTGTATAATTTTTCTGTTTTCTTAAGTTGTGGATTTTGTTTGTTTAATGAATTTATTGTCTTTAGAAGTGAGATTTTAGAATTAGTGTAAAAGTACTGAAGCTTTGGCATGAGATTGGGAGTTTGTGTTGAGTACGCTACAAAATTTTTATTCCAAAACTGTACAGAACTTCTTTAAATGTTCTCTTCATGATGAAGCTGTGGGAAGTGAACTTAAGGAAAGGCAGCTTTGGCACGGCAGGCATCTTGCTCTGGAAATCCGTAGAAATTCTGTGCCTTTTCTGGATGCGTGTTTTGGTCACTAGTGAAGATAGATAAAAATAGTGATTAAAAATTTAAACAGTTACACCAGTAGAGCAGAGCCTTGGCAGACTTTGGCTTTGCTGGTGCTCAGGTTTTCTCATGCTGTGTGCACATGCTTTGTGTTCAACAGGAAACAAGCAGAGTTGTGCACATCATGGATTTCCAGAGGGGAAAGAACCTGAGATACCAGCTGCTTCAGCTCGTTGAACCCTTTGGGATAATCACAAATCACCTGATTCTAAACAAAATCAATGAGGTAAGGTTGGGTCCCAGGGCACTGCTGCTGGGGCTGGCTGGTGTGTCTGGTCGGCTTCCTGTCACTGTCTGAGCTTTGTTTTTGGAAAAGGATTTGCTCAGCCACCCACTGAGATGCCACATCTATCATCAGGGCCATGTGGGAAAGGAGGAGTGTGTTTCCAGACATGCTGCACTACCGCATTTTCACTTAAATATTGAAAAATCCTCCTGGTTGGTTGTTCATTGCTTTCTTAACAACACCACATTCTGCTCTTGTTTGAAAACTATCTGAAAACTTTTTTGATCTTAAGTTTGTATTCTGGAGTGTGTCTTATTTTGAAGTGTGAAAAAAAGCAATACCACAGAAGTGGAAAAAGGAGGAAGCAATTGAATGTTTTGAATTCAAATCTGGGTGGAATGTAAACAAACAAAATAGTTCTGTTTGTGCACCTAAATAAAGTATCTGCCAAGCTCTGCAGGTCAGTTCACGTTGTAACCAAAAAGCAGTTTTCATTTCTGATGCAGTTATTTTTAAAAGGAAGCATGGAAGAGCTTGAAAATTTGAAACAGAATTAGATTCCTGAAAGAGCAGCACTTAATTTGATTTTGTATGATTTCAGGCATTTATTGAAATGTCAACCACTGAAGATGCCCAGGCTGCAGTGGAGTATTATTCAACAACACCTGCCCTGGTGTTTGGTAAACCAGTCAGAGTCCACTTGTCACAGAAATACAAGAGAATAAAGGTAAAACACTTCAGCTTTTTTTAACATTGCCTTATTTTAATCTGGGGCAGTCAGTGTTATGAGGCTGCAGCATTTAAGTTACTCCTAATTTCTGTACTTTTCAGTACATCAGATTAATCAAGGGACAGTCACCCTTGTATATTTTATACATAGGTCTTAAAAAATGTCTTTGCCTTTTAATCTAAGAAACCTGAGGGTAAACCTGACCAAAAGACTGAACCACCAAAACCAGAACTTGGTCGTGTGATCCACCTGAGCAACTTGCCCCACTCGGGCTACTCTGACAACGCCGTGCTCAAACTGGCCGAGCCCTACGGGAAGATCAAGAACTACATCCTCATGAGAATGAAAAGCCAGGTGACTGCAGGGGAGCCCCTAGGGCACGGCTTGGAGGGGGGTGTTAGTTGGGAAGAAATGACACCTTCAGCTGGGGCATGTGTGGACTTTGTGCTCTGGCATAGGCTTGGAAATGGCTCAGGGTATGTCTAGGTTGGGGGTTTGCTTTGGAGCTTCCTGTGAGAGGTCTCTGGAATATGAGCTGCTTTAAAAACAGAAAAAATATATTTCAGCATGGAGGTTTAATTATTGGATGATGCAGATTTCGTGGAGCCTTGCAATTGTTTTCTTAGGGCTGAAAAACCATTACCTGTGAAACACAAATATATTCCACTGTTAAAGCATGTTTCTTTATTTACCCTTTATTTTTCATTCTTTAAACAAAAGCAGTTCTGCTGTGCTTTTTTAGCTTAGAAAAGAAAGGTTTGAAGACAGACCATTGCATGTGTATAGGGCAATGCAAGATTTCTATAAGTATACAGGAGTTTAAACTATTTAGCTCTATTTTTTTAAGCTTTACTGTCCCAGTTCATTGCTCCCTTGAGTAAAAAAAGGAAGTTCTACTGCTTTTACAAAGAGATGGGTGCCTGAATCCCCTAATGCCACACTTGAGAAGTGAAAAATTACTGAAGTATTGTGTGACCCCCTAGGAAGTCCCTGACCTTATTTCACTGGAAAAATAAAATTGCTTGCTGCCTAAGTTGGCTGCTGAAACAGCTTTCAATTTTTTGGCAAGGATACTCCAACCCAGATGTGTGTGTTTAAAGCTCATTCAGCAGCCTTGTGAGACCTCCTCACAAAGCTGGAAGAGCAGCAGTTGCTGCCTTTCTGTTTCAGCCTTCTCTCAAAAACCAAAAATAAAATACTGAGGTAGTCTCACAACTCCCCTGAAATTCCCAGGTACATAAGCACTAAATAAGAGTTTCATTGTCCTGATACTTTTTTTATTTAAATCATATTTTACTTTATGATGACTTTTTTGGCAGATTATTTAAATGCCTGTTTAATTTCAGAACTGTCTCTGGGACAGATGCTCGGAATGGAAAAGCTGGGATTTGTAAAGCACTTGGGTAAATGTTCAGGTGTTTGGTGAGGATGGGTATAGTTGAACCTCATGATTTTGTTTCAGTATTTGGAAATGAATATTTCTTAAGTTAAATCACTGCCTGGAAAAGTGTTTCAGAGTCCTTTTTATTGTGTGTTTTAATCTTTTCAGGCCTTTATTGAGATGGAGACCAGAGAAGATGCTTTGGCCATGGTTGAGCATTGTGCCAACAAAGCGCTTTGGTTCCAAGGCAGATGTGTGAAAGTGGATTTATCTGAAAAGTACAAGAAACTGGTGTTAAGGGTAAGGATTTCTTTAACTGTAGTTGAATATGTAAAGGGAAGTAGATGACAGCCATTGCTTATTGAAAATTCAATGTTGCATGTAGAACTGAGCAGTTGGCTTTAATATTTTCTGGCTCCTTGAGTGCAGTTACTTGGCACGAGTGGTGGTATTAGGAGGACAAGTTAAAGAATATTCCTTTCAGATTAAACAAACCACAAACAGTTACTATAATTCAGATTTTAGAGTAAATTATATAGATTTTAATTAAAATTACTCCATTTAGACCATTCTCTAATGTGGGATCTTTTTTTCCCTTTGTCTTTGAAAATGAAGAAGGTTTGTGAAAACTTTAAATGTATTAGAACTGCACCTCTGCCTGTGCAGCTCATATAAAGGAGGGAAAGGTTGACTGAAGGGTTTTTTTACATAACACCAGGGTAACATTCATGCAATTATCGGTGTTTCTTCATTGGACTAGGACAGTAGGTACAAAACTGAGAAGAGGTCAGCTGGTCAGTGTTGTGATGAATTTTCTGTGTATGGAGACACAAGGTTTGACTCCATTCAGAAGGTTGATTTATTATGTTAAATGTTTTACTAAAATGCTACATTAAAACTGTACTAAAAGAACAGAGAGAATAGAGAGATCAGAAGGTTACAAAGAACAAGAATAGAATAGAATGCATAACAAAATCTTGTGACTGTTCACAGCCTTGACACAAGTGGCTGTGATTGGTCATCAGTAGAAAACAATCTCTATGGATCAATGGAAGATGCACCTGTAGCATTCCACAGCAGCAGATAGTTATTGTTCACATTTCTTTCCTGAGGCTCTCAGCTCCTCAGGAGGGGAAAAATCCTAGGAAAGGATTTGTAATAAAATATCATAACTACAGGTCAGAGCATGGTGCTGATAAATGCCAAGGTTGTGGGTTCAGCCCCTTTGGGCCATTCACTGAAGATCTGGACTTGATGATCCCTATGGGTCCCTTCCAACTCAGAATATTCTGTGGTGATAATAGGTTGACTGAAGGGTTTTTTTACATAACACCAGGGTAACATTCATGCAATTATCGGTGTTTCTTCATTGGACTAGGACAGTAGGTACAAAACTGAGAAGAGGTCAGCTGGTCAGTGTTGTGATGAATTTTCTGTGTATGGAGACACAAGGTTTGACTCCATTCAGAAGGTTGATTTATTATGTTAAATGTTTTACTAAAATGCTACATTAAAACTGTACTAAAAGAACAGAGAGAATAGAGAGATCAGAAGGTTACAAAGAACAAGAATAGAATAGAATGCATAACAAAATCTTGTGACTGTTCACAGCCTTGGCACAGGGGACTGTGATTGGTCATCAGTTGAAAACAATCTCTTATGGATCAATGGAAGATGCACCTGTAGCATTCCACAGCAGCAGATAGTTATTGTTTACATTTCTTTCCTGAGGCTCTCAGCTCCTCAGGAGGGGAAAAATCCTAGGAAAGGATTTGTAATAAAATATCATAACTACAGGTCAGAGCATGGTGCTGATAAATGCCAAGGTTGTGGGTTCAGCCCCTTTGGGCCATTCACTGAAGATCTGGACTTGATGATCCCTATGGGTCCCTTCCAACTCAGAATATTCTGTGGTGATAATAATGAAGTCCTGTGATAATGAAAGCAGGAGCAATCTGAACTGTCAGGCTGTCTCCTAGAAACATCAGCGTTGTTGTGGAGCATGAAGAAATCTTACTGATGCACATGGTAGTGCAGCAAAATGAGCACTTAGTGGCAATTTGAATAGATTTCCTTGTTACTGCCTACAAGTGACATTTCCTGTTCAGTACTTCATAAACAGGTGAAGTGATGGAAGTCTGCTAAAGGTATTCCACTAATGGTGGAGAAAAGTACAGCTTAGGACTGATCTGTGCCAGTGCCTGCATTACATGCTGCTGGTTCATAAACAAGCCAGGAACTGTATGTGAATTTTTTGGAGCAGGATGTCCCATTTGTTTTGTATTAAATAATTACTATGAATAAAGGCAGGGAATTTCTAGGTTGGTCAGGTCCTGTCTGACTTGAGATAAAGGTTTACTGATCAGTTGGTGGGTGGCATAGACAGAGTTCCTGGGGGTTAATGTAGCTGGAAGCACTTGGCTGGAGTGGATTCTGGTCTTCATTAATGCTACAGCACTTGTGTAAGTCATACTCTGCTGTGACTCACAGATTTTTTTAAATTTTATTTTAGATTCCCAACAAAGGAGTTGAACTGCTGAAAAAGGATAAAACCAGGTAATTTCCTATTGTTAAAGCATGATGTTGTTTAAGGGAAATATGAAAATAGTGAAAATAACTTATTCAGAGTATAGAAACAATAGAAAAGAGTCAGGCAAGCTTTGAGATCAAATGGCTGGAGGTTGTGCCCAGAGATTAACTGTTTCAAATATGCTACCCACCCTCTTCCTCTAACAATGGAGATTTCACAGCCTCTTCAGTCTCCTAAGGAAATCCTTTGCAGTCCCTAATTAGCCTTGCCTTCCTGCAATTTAAACATACAAACAGTTGTCGTGTCTTGTAAGGATAATTTCTCCTTGGAGCAGCATTTTGTATGTTTGAAGAATCATGTCCTTCAGGATTTCCATCGGCTTTCCATTTTCTAAACTGAAACATAATAGTTTCCAGACTTATCTAAAAAAATCTGATATTTTTCTTTAGTAATTTCTGGACTCTCTCCAGGTTTACAAGCAGCAATGTTCTTTGTCCTTTACAGAAAGAGAACATATTCCCCAGACAGCAAAGATTCTCCCAGTGATAAGAAGTCCAAAACAGAACCTGCTCAGAAACCTGAAAGTGGCAATACAGAGGAAAAAGCGAAAGAGGAGAAACAGGAGGATGCTGCTGAGCCTTCAGGTGCCAAAAGTGGGGAACAGACAGAGCAAGATGAGCCCAGTTTACTCCTGGAGTCTGAAGATGAGCTGCTGGTGGATGAGGAGGAGGCAGCAGCACTGTTAGAAAGTGGCAGCTCAGCAGGAGAGGATGCAGATGTTGCCAATTTAGCTGATGTGGCTACTGAAGAAAAAAAGGACACACCTGATGATGCAGCTGTAAAAACAGAGGGGAATGTTGCAGTCACTCCAGGAGCCAAGAAAAAGCTTAAAAAGGTAACTCACACAGTGAGCTGCTGAGTGAGGGAAGCCCAGTCTAACTTAGGTAGCACACCATGTACATTCTGGTGCAGACCTTCCTCTGTGGGTCTTTAAAACTCCTGTCTGGAAAGGAGCAGGTGTTAAAGCTCCTGTGAAGAAAGTGGAAGATCTCACTGGGTGGAACTTGCCCATGGATTCAGTTAAAAAGCCCTGATTCTCTTTTGACAGAAGCCTTTAATTTGTGGTCTTTTATCCTTGTTGCTTTCTGGGGATTTGCTTGCTTTTCACCCTTTTTTGATTAATACTTAACCAGGAACTGTGTTCTTCTGAGCAGTTTCTCAGCAAACTGTATTTACCCTTGAGCCCAGAAAGCATGTTCAAAAAATAATGTACTGGGGGCTTGAGGCTAATCTGGGCTTGGACAGAATTGGATGTACAGCTACACCTTACACTGAGGGGCAGGTAGGGCCATCTGCAGTTAGCCAGGGCCCCTTGCCCACTGGAGAAAGACAAGAATTGCTTTCAAGATGTTTCCAGTCACAGGCTACTTGCTGTGACTTCCCTTTTTCTCACCACATCATCCCACACTCTCGTGGGTTTTATATCGTACCTGCTTTGTTAATCATACTCAGTTCTGTGCAGTAGTGTGCAAAGTTGCAGTAATTTGTTGACTTGGATTGTTGTTTTGCAAGAAAGGCATGTACCTAATTAATTAATGAGATATGCATGGATCTCAATTTTGGGGGATCCTTGTCAGGAACCTGGTTAACAGTGCTGAGATGAATACTGGCCATGCAAATGGCATTTCCCAGTTTTCTTAGTGTTCCTTATTGCTATGTTGGCATTGGCTGTGACAAACTGCTTCAAAGCCAGACTTCACTCCTTTGAAGACCTACATTCACAAAGCTAATGCTGCCTCAGTCCTGTTAAGTATGTGGAATAGTGATACTTCCATATCAGCAGGAGCATTTCCAAAAATTCTGAATTTAGACAGTCCCTCTTCTAACAAAACCTGGATTTTCAGAGGCTTTCCCAGTTTGGGTGGTTGGTGGGTTTGGGTTGGGTTTTGTTTCTGTTCTAGTGATTGTTTTAATGTGGATGCTCTAAGCTTTCTACTGGTTGAAAAGAGCTTTTAATTCTTTTTTATGAACTTTCATACCATTAGTGGGGACAGAATAGTTCTGGTAAGGTTTTGCCTTCTATTCAGGCCATGAATTCAAGGCTCTTATGGGATTTTCAAATAGAAACAAAATTGGTGCACTCCAAAATTACTTTCACTTAAGGTACTCATGTTAAAATACTTTCATCTTGAGAATTTAAGTGGTTTTGGCTCTGTTCTTAAGTTGAAATTATGTTGCTGTGGTGAAACAATGGCCATTCCTGATGCAAAAAAAAAATCATTGTGAAAGGGAGTCCTTGATTCTGGGGCAGTGGGATACAAAAAGAGCTGGTTAAATCTTGAGTAACAGTTTGAGTGAGCGAGGCAGCTCTCGTAGGAGGAGTCTGGAGCACGTATTTGTGCTGTGCAGCTGAGGGGGCTTTGAAGGGAGCACTCAGGCTGAGCTGACACGGCCCCGTTGTCCCCGCAGCGCTATGTGGGCGGCTTCCCACGCAGCATGGAGGGCTTCGTCACCCTGGACGAGGTGGGCGACGAGGAGGACTCCGACCACCAGAAGCTGCGCAAGTCCGGGCTGGCAGCCAAGGCTGCGGGCAAGAGCGAGGACAGCCTGGCAGAGATCAAGGTGGACAAGATTGAGGAGCCAGAGCAGGAGAGTGAAACGTTAGAAAACGGAACAAAAAGCGAAGAGAGCGCCAAGGCTGAAAGTGTTGAAGCTTCTGATGCTACGACAGCACAGGATACTGAGAAAAGCACCCAGGAAAACACAGACCCCCAGGGCGAGCAGGAAACAAAGAGTGTTCTGGAGAAACCTCTTGTCCCAGATGAGTTTAGGATTGGGCCATACCAGCCAAACATTCCTGTTGGTAAGGCTGTTTCCATTTCTTTTCCAAAATGTCTCTGTGCATCACAATAGCATTTCTCATTTCATCTGACTTTTATTTTTGGCAATACATTGCCCCATAGCCTTTCATTTTAGGGCTTCCCCCTCCTCCCCCTTCTTCACTCCTGCCCTAAACCCAGTATTTTCTTTTTTCCTTATTTTCATAGCGTTTTTCATAACCCTTTCCTTAGGCAGAAATTGACAGAGGTATCTTTTAGCAACACAAATTCAATTGCTAGCACAAAGCACAACAGTGATAATAGTTCAGAGTCATATTAAATACTCCAAAACTGATCACAAGACATTGTGAGTTCTTGAAGGACCCAATAAAATTAACCCTTAATCTGAAAGGTGAATTTTTAAATATAAAAAAACCCAAAACCTGCACATACTTAGTTACTATTAGGCCCCTGCTTGACTAAACTAAATCAGAGACTTTTAAAGATAAAGCAGCTTTTAATGTAAAGTGAATTATGGTTTTAAGATTTAGCTGAAATGACATTAAAAGAAATGATGTAGAGTAGATCTCTTAGTTTATTTTGTGGTGTTTACTCCTCTAGGTGTGAATTATGTGGTACCCAAAACAGGGTTTTATTGCAAATTGTGTTCCCTGTTCTACACAAATGAAGATGTTGCAAAAAAGACCCATTGCAGCAGCCTTCCTCATTATCAAAAGTTGAAGGTAAGGCAAAAACTTGTTCATTTTAAATGGCTTGATTCTTTCTGGGGAATAGAGCTCAACGAGACCGGACTGAGAATACAAATACCTTTCAGGCAGTGGAAATTGGCTTTCTCAATAACTTTAACTCTAGATAGACCTCTCCAAAACATCATCTTGTGAAAATAATATGCAAAATGCACAGTTTAAAGAGTGGCTCCAGCATTTTTTATCTTGTAAATTTGGATTAAAGAGGGAATTCCAATTGGAATAAGGCCAGGCTTAGAAGTAGTGATGCAGAGTAAATGCAGATGGCCCAGATCCCTTCCAGTTGTCCCTTTGAGAGTGTTTTCAACCAGTCAACATTGCTTAAGATGAAGTTTTATATGTTTAAAAAAGCAAAAATCTTTGCAACTTCTGATTTTGTGAGCACTTTTCCATTTTCTGACTGGATGAGGTATCACATGATTGCATGGCATGAGTGACAATGCTGCTGCTGTAACCTCATACTGTGAGCTGCAAACATGACCTCCAGGAAAGGCAATCCCAAAGGAATTCTGATAGTCCTGCAGTGTCACATTAATGCATTTCAGGGCAGTTGATCCCTGAGGCTGAAAGCAAACCCCAGGAGCTCCACAGAGAAGGAGAATGTGGCACCTCATAATTTAAACATTTGCCTTCTTGCAGTAACGGGGAACCCCTAAATAAACAGAGGGCCCAGGAAGGCAGATGGCATAAAAATTGTCACCAAACAACACTGTGAAGGAGTAGATCAGAAAATCAGTTCCTATGCAGGATCTTGTAGGAAAAAAATCCACCTCATCCATCACCATAGTGTTTTTTTCTTTTTTTTATTTTTTCCATTGAGGTACCTGCTTATGGGACATTAAAGCCTTGATGTAAAATGGGAAGGGGGGAAAAGTGCCAATTTGTGAGGTTTGTTACTTGAATGAAACATTATTTGTTCTGTTTTTTCTGTGGCAGAAATGATCAGTGAGCTGTTTTGTGGGTGATTGTGTGACTGTGGTGGGGTTTGGAATTGGGGAGGGAAGGGGGAAATGCAGCTTCTGTTTCACACTGGCACTTGATTGGAGCTGGGAGTCTGCTTGGAGAGCTGGGAAAATTAAATAGGTGAATTGATGTTGCTGCCAAATGTCATCAAAGTGGTACCAAATTCCTCTAAATTAACCCTTCTCTGGGGAGGGGAGATACTGTGTCCCTGCCTCTGTAGAGGGCAGATTCCACCCAGGTAAGTGGCTCAGTCATGTCACAAGTCCATGACAAAAGGGGAAGGAATTCCCTTGGCTTGCCAAGGAGAGCTCCACTCCGGGACGGGGAGAAGTGCCAGCCTTGTTAGTTAGGATCTTTGCAATTGCAATTGATGCTCACAGATTTTAAACTTGGAAATTTGATTTATGTTTCTGTTCTTTTATGTTGTGCCTGTGAGAAACTCTTTAAATATATCCCCAATATAACTGCTTTCTTTCAACAGAAAATTCTGGATAAAATGGCAGAAGACTTCAGGCAAAAGAAAGAAGGTTAAAAAGAAGGATGTAAGGAAAACGTGGCTTTGTTTTTAATGTTAATCTTTTTTAAAAGCAGTACAAGTAGTAGATGGAAATACTGTATTCTTTTTTGTTTTAGTGAGATACAGTAGGCATTATAGGTCTGTTCATGTGTTAAATGTTGTAGCAAAAAGCATATGCAGTTAAGTTAATGACAACAGTTTGTTCTTAATGTGAGAATGGCAACAACCTTTCATTTGACACTTCAAGCTATTACAGAAAAAGAAATCTTGCACCCTTGTGGAAAGCTCATCTATGAGAAGAAAACTGCGTTTAAATGAAATTTACTACTTTCAAGCTTCAGAAATTGTCTTTCAGTTCCATTCTGAATAAAAAATGAAAAGTAATACTGTATTTTTATTTTATCTAGAACATTCCGTATTTTGGTCTGAGCCTAGCAGCTGTTTAATTTTGAGTGTAAGGCTGTCATTGCATTTCACTTTTGGAAAAGTCGTTAAATGTAAGTTGCATTTTTAAGTGTTGAATTGCAGTTTCTTTTAATGTCACTGCTGTTATCTATAGCAAATAGGGAAATTAGTGATTAGTCAGCTTTACAACTTTGTGATTTTTTTTTCTAAGCTCTTGCTAGACTTTCCTATTCAGCTATTCCGTGTATTTTAGTGAGAAGTAAATGCCCATTCTCTGACCAGTATTATTTCCTCGAGCTCTTCCTGCTTTTACTTGAATCTCGTCGCTGTCGTACATCTCTGGTATATCAAAAGCAGCATTGGAGTCCTAAAAGGGACAAAGGTATCTTTATATTCTTCACATGGAAGTTTTCATACCTGCATTTTAACACCATTTTTTGTTAAAATCTGGTTTTGTCAAGACTCTTTAGAACTGTGCACTTAATGTACCTGCACATGTGAGATGTGAACAGGAATTTGCATGTGTAACCTGTGTTTATCTGTAGTTTTTGTTATTTACTGCTTATTTGTGACTTCAGGTTACTAAAGTGATTCCCAATAAACAAAGCTAGACCACAGTGATTTGTTATAGATGTTTGGCATGTTAACCAGTGTTTCTGCTGAACTCTCTATCCTGTGTCACATCACCACATCAAAACTCGAGCTCTCTTTTTAAAATGTGCATGTTTATAACACCTTTGCTTCAGCAGCTTCCTGCATAACTCTTCTTTCTCTTCCCTAAACCCTCTTGCATTTCCAAACAAATTAAAATATCACTTGTTAAAACCCTGGTAGGTATAGTCTGCCGACACTTTTATTTCTGGAGTTTTGGGGTGTTCTCATCAAAGCTGAAGCCACATCCCATTCATGCAGACAAAACATACTGGGGCCCATTCTTCCAGCCTGAGCCTCCATGAGTGAGGATCTGGGGCTTGCGAGGGGTTTGGCATGCAGGAGGCTGAGTGTTGATGAAGTTGTAACTCCTTCGTTAAGCAGACACACCCAGCAGACACAGGACTTTGTGTTGTTTGCAAGTCAAGCCTTAAGAACTTGTTTTTCCAGCTGTGACTTTGTGTTGCACCCTCACCTGAGGGGGTGCAGTCCCTCACAGAGCTTGAGCTACCTCCAGTGAGGGCAGCAGGTTCTGTGGGGCCTGGAGAGGGGAGAAGTGCTGAGGAGCAGCTCCAGTGCAGGGTTTGTTGAAACAGCACATCCAAATTAAAGTTTTACCATGCAGTGACTCATCCCTGTACAGAGAGCAGTTACTGCTCTGTACACGACACTCATTAGTATGCAAAGTGATGTTTGGGTTTGTAGGAAATGGATTAAATGTCAGGCATTGATAGAATCTTAAAGCTTTCTGAGACCCCTGAAAGAAATCAGAGGCACCAGCAGCCCTGCACTTAGAGCAGAACAAAGTCAAGGATGGGCTTGGAGCCCCATTTAGGTGGCGTTTGTCACTCATCTGTCACTGAGAGGCTGTTGAGTCCCTCTGCAGTGGCTGCAGACCAGGCACCCCTCTCTGAGGGAGGCAGATAAATTTATTTGCAAGGTCTTTTAAGTTTCCTTACAATGTGCATTTAAGATTAATGTATCGAAATACTACATTCAGTTTTTTAAGTAGCCTTTTGTTAGCTAATACTTGTGCTGATCTTGTAGCTTGTGTGAATGCTGACCTGTGTACAGTCAAACATGTACATGTTTAGTGTTTAAACATTGAAGCATTCCCAGGTGTGAGTGTAAGGATGCTTTTACATGTCAGAAGTTAAATCAAACTCACTGCTTCACCAAGTGCCTTCTGTTCCCATGCAGACGTCAGGGAGAATAGAGCCCTCAGGATAATTTCTGAGAAAAAGGTGCCAGAAAAACCTGCTCTTGAGGACAGATTCCAGACACACATGTTGGTGTCATGGGCTGCTTATTTGGGAATAACTACACTGAAGGGTGAGGGAAATCCCAGAGTGCACGGGTGAGTGTGAAATGTTGGGCTCTGTGCTTCAGGCACGAATTTCAGCTGTGAGGAGGAAGCTGGAGACTGCTGACCCACTGCTGTGGGGAGTGAGTAGAAAGAGAAACCTCTTCCACTGAGAAAACCACATCCTGCTGGATTTGTAGAGTTGGAAATTGTGGAAATAAGAGTAGCAGGTGCACGGTGTTGTTTTTCTAAGGATGATGCTTTCAGAGGTATTTTGCAGTGTTTGATGGACTGTGGGGAAACCCTTGGGCCCTGGGAACAAGTTGGTAATGGTGGCTGATGAAATCAGTATAAACTAGCGTACACTTGGGCATTTCCATCTGCTTTGTGTGCCACGACTGGCTGCAGCTGGGGCAGCTGGCTCGCGGAGGGTTTGTGGCTCCAGATTTTGGCTGCGAATGGGCAGGAGAGGCATTCCCACCTTCCCCTGAGGAAAAGGGAGAGGAGAAGCAAAAGAATAAAAATGGCTTTTTGAGCCCATTTTGTAAATTGGGCTGAAGCCTCGGCATGTACTTGATAAAGAATACCTATTATGTCCCATTTCCTGACACAGAGCCTTAAAACGCACGAGTCCGTTCACAGCCACCGCTTTGTGAACATTGTTCCCCCAGTGAGGCGAGGGGTCTGCGCCTGCGGGGTCAGCCGCTGTGCCGAGGGACGCTGGGGTGCTTCGGGAGATGCCCGGTAACGGGGAGTGTTGGCATCGCGCTCTGCCAGCCCCGGGGTCGTTCGGCGATCCCTCCGCGAGCCCCCGGGGTCTTCGGTCCCCGCCCCCTCACCGCCGCTGCCACAAGATGGCTGCCGCCGCGCCGGACTGCGCTTCCCGGCGTGCCCCGCGCCGCCGCGCGAAATGGCCGCCAGATGCAGTGCGGGACTACAGCTCCCGGTATGCCGCGCGCTGGGAGGAGGGTGGGGGGAAAGACTACGAGTCCCGGTGTGCAGCGCGCCGCCCCCCCGCCGACGCTGCGGCCTGCCGCGCGCCTGCCGCCGCCGCTTCCGGGGGAGAGAGGGCGGGGCCCGGCGCTGACGGAAGTGACGTCAGGTCCGGCGGTGTGTGGCGGAGCGGGGCGGGCCGGGCCGAGCGCGGACCGGGCGGAGCGGAGCGGGGCCGGTGGGTCCGGTGGGGTCCGGGCGGGTCACGGCGGAGCGGCGGCTCCTCTGCGCACCGCAGGTGAGAGGCGGGGGACGGCCCCGGGCACGCACCGTCGGCACCGCCGCGGGGGCTCGAGGGCGCCGCCCCCTCCCCTGAGGCGGCGCCGGGCCGCGGCCTCCACCCCCCGCGGCGGGGCCGCCCCTCGGTATTGTCTGCGGCGCCATCCGGGGCCTGCGGGGGCGGCTGGTGCCGAACAAAGCGGGGCCGGGGGCGGTGGCCCCGCGGCGTTACCGCCCGCACGGGGCCGAGCGCGGGGCCGGGGCAGCGAGCGGCGCGGCCCGGGGTTACCGGCACCCGCGTTACCGACAACACCGGCTCGCGGCGGCGGCCGCGCTATTACCGAAACATGGCCCCGGCGCGGGTCCGGCCCGCCGCCGAGGGGCCCCGTCCCTGCCGGGGCGCTGCTCCCACAAGCCCCTGCTCAGCCCCGCGCGGGCGAGGCGGCTGCGTTCGGTAACCTCCAGCGCAGCGCTCGGAGGCGTTTAGATCAGATAGCGCTGGCGTCCCGCGTGGATTTGATTAAGAAATCTGTTTATTGGGCGAGTATAATTATTAGACGGTTATAATCAGCTCCCTTGATAAGAGCCGTGTGCTAATCTCGATAGATACGGAGGAGCTGGGCCGACTCGCAGGAGCAGTCACGGCTGATAAACAAGTCACTGACTTCTGGCCGAGCTGCTCTAAAACACCTCCTTTAATCTTCTGCTCACACTAAAACCATGTTATTTTTGGGCTCTTAAAGCAAATACCGTAATTTTTTTTACTTAATTATTCTCTTTTTTTTCTGTGGCGGGTAAGGACCTGTGGTTGCTGCATGGAATTAGGCCTGACCTCACCTCCGGAGAAGGCAGTGGATAATCTTCTTTCGTGACTGGATTTTAAATGCAGACTCTTCAGTCACAAAGCTCTGAATTTTAATGATGGTCGGTCAAGGGCTCTTCAGGGCTGTAACTGCAGCAAAATTCAGGGAAATGGGTGAATTAATGGGCCTTAGTGATGTTCTGGAGTAACAAGCTGCACACTGCATACAGAAAACAATTCAGGGTTAACTGAAAGCCTGTTGTTACAGGATTTTTTTATTCCTGTCTTCGTTCCTAAGATACAAATGCTATTTTTTATTAGTGTCTTTCCTTATGCATTTGCACTGTGCTTGCTCCACCACCCCCACTCCACACTAAAATCCCAGAGGAACTCGGGTCAGAACCTCAGTTTGTCACCATGGCAGAATTCTCCCTGTTTTCTGTTCCTTAGCACTGCCAATGTTACATTTCCTCTTCTGCAGTGAGGAGCTTCAAGCTCCTCTGCTTCCCACCTACTCCCAGATGGAAAATGGGTTATTTTTGTTCCCAGCAGCAGTGTAGCCTGGCACTGGGGCTTGTTTCCTGCAGCAGCCTGCTTGGATTGGGACTTTTTGCAAGACTGAAGTGGCATTTGGCTCTCCCCCTCAGAATTCCCTGACTGAAAAGGTTGTAGCAGTACTGGTGGAACGAGACTCAGCTTGTCCCCACACGTGAGCACAGAAGCTTGCTCTGTGTCTTGAAGTGGAGAAATAGAAAGGTTTATTTGTTCTAGAAGATTTATTTGTTCTGTTGGAAGCTGCAGAAAATTAAATCGGGAGTGCTGTGAGTGAGGAACCAGCCTGGGGCTTCCTCAGAGTTCCTGCAGGATAAGTGGGCGTGGGCATGTTTCCTTGTGGGAAAGGCATGAATGGACTGAGGGCTTCATCAGATAAACTTCAAATATTCAGGCCGAGCCTGGGTCCTTCTTGAAAATCATCCCCATCATCCTTGGGCAATGGTGGACAAAGCTGGTTTGGTCCAAGCTGGACTTCTCTTCCTCCCTCCTAAAGCTGGAACTCCTGTCTGGTGGGAACGCTTCAGAAATGGGAAAGTTTGCCTGTGATTCAACAAATTAACCTTCCAAGCTTTTACACAAACAAGTAGGGTTGGTTTTTTAGTTTGGGTTGGTTTTTTAAATTATTTTTACCATTCTGGACTTGTCTGGGTACAATCACCTTTGTGTACAAGCTGCCTGAGTTCCTCACTGCTGAGGCAGTTACTTTCAGGAAAATAATAATATTACTAGCTCACAAAAGAGAAGGTGAACATGCATGCCAGTAAAAAGTGAGGGGAGAAAGAAATACGTTTTTTTAGGCTTTATTTCGTATACTCCATCCCGTGTGTTGGCTTGGGAACAGCTGAAGTGGCTTAAAGCAATTTCAAGCTTGAATTGGGGTGTTAAAAGCAATGTCCTTTCCTGTTTTATGTAAATGCTGCCAATAATCCTCAGCAAGTTTGTTTTGAAAGAACATCAAAAAGAGCCTGTTTTCCCTCAGTGGAATAAACAGTGGAGTGCAGGCATCTGCTCCCGGTTGTGGCACTTCCCAGGGAGCTGCAGTGACTTCCATGCTGGGGTTTGCCTTTGATTGGGAAACGTGGAACACAGCAAGC